AATCCCCCAACACATTCCATTCCTTGAGTCTGGAATGAGGGACCGAAACCTATCCCTATTTGGGCCAAAAACCTAGCCCATGACGAACGACAACTGACGACGAAGACAATATTCCCCCTAAGGTTTTTTTTTCCCCCGAAGGGCCCAACCATGTGCTGATGAATGAAGAAAAAGAAAAAGAGAAAAAGAGAAAAGAAATAGCTGCAGTGGCCAACTCATTGGACCCCTTGGTCTGCTCAAGTGTGTATGTGTGCGTGTGTGCTTAATGTTCAGAAAGCGTTCACATGCGTTCACCCACCGCACATCCACAGGTTCATTGAAAAAGTGAGGTTTTCCATGCAACATGGATGACTGACTTAAAAGATCTATGTTGAAGTTGATTAGCTATCTGGCCAGATACATCTCAGGAACCTGACAGGCACTCGCTGGTGTTCCTTTCCCACTTGAAAACGTGCCTCCTTTCGCTTTTTGGATGCGCCAGTCTCTGTGCCTGGCGGGGTTGTCGGCAAACCTGCATTGGCATTCGTGTGATGAGATTTCTTCCTGGCCTTCTTCTGCTGTCATCTGCAGCTGCTCATGGAAGCTGGGGTTCACATGCACCTGCAGAGCAAAGCTTGGATGGGCAGGTAGTCCGCTTGCAAGTGAGAAAAGGTATCACAACTGGTCAATGACAGCAAAATTCCAAGCAGCCATCGGGGCCTTGTTCTTGCTCCTGATGCGGGTTCGCATGGTGCGCTTGGCTTCCAGCCTTTCTTTGACCTGGGGTTCGAAAAAAGCACACACACACACACACCAATCTCCAAGATACCCCAGCTTATGCAAAGCCAAGCTCTGCATGCGCTGGTTGCAGCGCGGACACAACTTGCCAAGGCACCTTCTGCTTGCGATATTCCTCGAAGGCAAAAGGGTCCAGGGCGGCTTTCAGCTTTGAATGGAGGCGGTAGTCCTTGCACAGAAGTATCCGCAAACAGAAGCTGCTGCTTTCCAGCTACTCCAGTATGCTGCCGCCGGTCCATGAAGAAACCATGCATGTAGGGCTGCAGGTATTTCGTGCCCACCAACCTCAAGGTTGAAAACCAGAAGTTGCGCAGAGCCACTCGGCATCGCTCCGAACTTGGTGCCGGGCTCTGTCGCACCAAGCTGCTCAAGCTGATCTTTGGTGACGAACTGAAAGTCCTGGGTGGTGTATTGAAAACGTAGAGGGAACGAGTAACATAGCTGTTTCGCCACATGTCCTCGAACACCGTCTTTTGCTTGCTTTCTTCAAGCTCCTGCAAGACTTGGTCTTGCAACAGGCGGTGAAGACAGTAGCTACTGACACATCCTCAGTGATGTTATCCAAGAATGAACACCACCTTAGGAATACGAAAAGTCCGGAAGGCGCAGTCTTTGCCTCACCTAGCCAGGACTAAACTGGACCCAAAAATCTAATCGCGAGCTGGGCAACGGCGGAGCCAATCCCACACTGGGTATGAAGAAGATCCTGGGCAATGTCAGGCAGCAAAACGTCCAACTGACACATCACTATACCGCTTGCTGGCAGTCAAGCTTCCCAATTCGCCTCAGATTCGCCACAGGCGAGCACCAAAAAGATTGTGCCAAAGACTGTAGCTGATCATGCACATGTGGTGTTGGGTTAGTTTAATTGATGCCTAGCGTGTTGGCTTCAACCGCCGTTCTCATCTGAGGGTTCCATGACATTACCCTTTCATCATTTGCGGTTCCGTGCGGGTTGTGCTGATGGAATGTCCAGCTTTGCTCGCTGCATAGGTTTACGCTATTTGGGGTTCAGGGTTGGGCCACGCATGCCTAGGGTAAAGGTAGGGCTTTGCTGACCACAGCTGACTTTTTGTGTGGTCTAGGTTTTCGCTCTCCCTCCTGTCATACTCTGCTCCAAGCGCCTGCTGGTATGGAGGGCTCGGGGGAACTTCACTTCTTTCCTGAACATAGAGATCCTGTGTGGCTTGGGCTGAAACTGAACAGGCAAATCAATTAAGCTCTGAGCTGAAACACGTCTGGTGTGGCAGGCCACACCAGATGCAAGAGTCTTGAGCAAGGCAGCTTGGAGAGATCTGAATTTGTGTGTGTCAAGCCACTGATGATCATTCGCCGCGAACATTAAGCCAGAGTTCGGATAGAAGCTGATGTCATTCACAACCTTGGTTGCATGTGAGTGTCGGTGTGTTGCCCAAGCAGCTGGCTGCTAGCTGCATCAATGATGCAACCTGGAAGCGCTTTGTGATTCAACAGATGCCTTCATCGCCCCTGTTGTCGCACCCCAAACCTGCAGAACACACGCAGGAAACGGCAAACATGCGAACTAGCAGGCCCACCAGCATCACTAGGATAAGCATAAAGCGCACGGTTGTCTAGCAGTGTGGCTTTGCTACATATGTTGCACTGGGCAATCCGAATAGGTTGAGCCACCTTTGCATTGGAACATGTGGTGGGTCTCCACTGCTGTTGACCACTCACTGCTCTTAGTCTGCTTTGAGGATTTCTTTACTGTTGATGCACGAAAGCTTGCACGACTTGGGTCCCTAAACTGCTGTAACTCCCCGATTTCGTGGAGTTTAGGCGGTTCAGGATTTCATTAAACAGCACAGTAAGTTCCAAGTGTCCAGGAAAACCTGAGGTTATCGCGTTGCAAATTCCGAAACCGTTGCATTCGCGCTGTAGTGACACCATGCGGGTGCGTCCCCGGGATTTCAACAGTTTGGCGGAAAGAGAGATGCTTGAGCTCACGTGAGGTCTACGTTACGTTTCAGCCAAGCGTGTACGACTTTGCGATTTTGCCACTTGCGAGCACAAATGCTGCAGACCGACGCGTACAAATGTGCAAGCACAGTGATCAAGGCTGTTCAAGGTGTAGGTCGGCATGCCCGGGAGTATTCAAAAAGACGGCGCTGCGAACTGCCTTCCGAGCATGCCGTCACTGAGCCTGACTGACTTGAGTCAAGGTCTCAGGAAATACCGTGGGCGGCCATCCAGGAGCTTGGTGTAGGTGGCCAATGTGCTGATAGGAAAGCAATCACACTGTGTGCAGGACCAGCACCTGAACTCTTCAGAAGGTTTCGGGTTGTCGCCGGCAAACTCTTCATTGTTGCAATGTCCATGCTATGACCAACCAATGCATTGTAAGCGGAGCACATTTTGCTGTTGCTCGGGCTAAATAGGAATCGTCACGTACTATGACGTGGCTGCTGGCCTTGATGGACTTCTTATCGGCAGATGCCACCAACAGATCTGAAGTTTCCGGACCGCAGCCATGAAAGCAGAGTGATGTGATGGCATAGTCATTCCTAGGCGGCAACCGAAGCGGCCAAGACCAGGCTGAACCGAAGATTGGACTGAAAACACAGCATAAGATCAAAGAACAGGCGGCATGTGGTCCCGCTCAGCCAGTGGACGGCTGCTGCGCAGATCATAGACGCGAACAAGGCCCTGCAGCTGCTTCGAACTGTGTCAGTAGCCTGGTTTCTCTTGCTTCACTGCATGGCAAGTCGTGTGATTGGCCTCAGAAGTGCCAGCAGCAAAGAACATGCCGTTGGCCGAGTAGGCGCATCGCGTCACCTGAAGTTCAGCTGGCCAGCGCATGGGCTTCAAACTCAGACATAATATAGTCTAAACTCCTAGTATCCCCCTTTATAACCCCTACAATAGTCCCCTCTATAACCCCCTCTAAGGAGTCTAGACTAGGGTTCACATAGTATCGCCTGAACGGTGTCAGACGTGGCTGCATCATCGACCTCAGGCCCCCGCGTTCACATGCACAAAAAGTAGTGTCAGGCACCCTCTGTCGACAGTAATTGCTATCAAAGCCTCATCTTCATGTTCTTCTGCAGACTTAGTCTTTTGCTTGGAGATTTTTCAGCTTCGTATTTGAGGCTACCATTGCCTGGAAGGAGAGAAAACATGTTCAGCAATTCGCTGCGTGAAAGTGCCTTCCCATCCACATGGCTCTATTGTGGGCACGGTTGCATTGAAAAGGTTAAGGAAAGGTAGTGCAGATACTTTTCCGGATGTCCGTTTTGCAGAGATCTATGACGGTCAGACAAAGCGGAAAAGGATTCATTCTTGCGCTTGTCCTGTTCAACCTTCCATCATCGTTGCCTCAGGCGGGTCAGTAATCTAGCTAAGGAATCGCAGTGCATCTGAGAACGAAGTCAGCACAGGTATGAATCCATAGGGCTGAAGGAACTGGAAGGAAAAGGAATGCTCCAAGCGACATCAGCAGCGAAGGGTCTCAAGTCTCCCCAGATGGTGTTGATACTCCATCAAGCCCCTTGTGTTGTGAGGGTGCCAGGTGACGGCTACCAGCAAATTCCGTGTCCGTGTGAGGTTAACTCGTGCCAAATCTCAAAACTACAAGGGCCCACTGCCAAAGTTTGAAGCTGTAACTAGCTGAAGCTAATCCCGATGGTTTGTCCATCCAGCACATCTGACACTTTTGCACGTTAACGTGCAAGTCCAAACCTGTAAACCCCGACTCCCACAGCAATGATCCAGCTTGCACAACTCAAACTACGATCTAGCTCCAAGTTGCGGCGCTCACACCTCCCTCCCAGTCATTATCATGGTTAGTTGCGATACCTCTCTGTTATACTCTACGTCGGCTGATTCCTCCCCTCACTGTGAATGTCCTGCTGAGCAGTCATCACTCAAATCTGATATGATATGATCCGTAATTTCAGCTGTCTTGTTTTGGCCTCGAAGATCAGTTGAGCCTACATGCATCCCCCTTATATACACTGCATCTCTGGACTGAATTTTGAATTCAGGCGCTTCCCGGCAGCATCGTACCCAATAGCCCATGGTTCTGATGAGTCCAGAACTAGGTAGGAGATCTCTCTCCCCCAGTGTACATAGATAGAGACTCCACGATTGCAGCTCAAGTTTTCGCTGGGTCCAAATCTCAAGCTTGAAAAGGCTTTTCTTCACAGCAGGACTAGATCTCTTTCCATTCTGTTTCCCAAATGCCTTTCATTGTGAGACCATGTTGGAACAACTTTCCACCTCAGCAGTCTCTTTCCCTCACGCTTTCTTTCCCTCATTCCTCCTTTTGCTCTTTCTCTCCATCCCTTTGCCATCTTTTGTTGCTCTTCTAGCCGCTTATTTTAGCCTGTGACGCCGGGTCTAGCTCGTTTCTTCTTCTTTTCAGGGCTTCCCTCCTCCAGCTAAGCAGGAGGGGTCGGCTGAAGGTAAAACTTGACTAGTAAGCAAGCTCAAACGCACTTGTGACCGGATATGACCGGATTATGGCGCCCGCAAGGTAACGATATGTATGGCCAAGGGCCGTGCAGCCCTTGGTTGCAGCAACGGAAAGTGCTACTGTGTTGCCTTTGTCCTTGATAATTTGCGCAACGTAGAACACCTGCTACAATCTTACATCACCCAGGTCTGGCCTGGTTTGCAAAGAGACCGTCCACGGGGCCAGATAAGTCAGGCGATAAATGATTGACTGCCTGCTTTCCAAACCAAACCAGGCACCTTCAGAGATTGAAGCGGGGAAGTTTGATCTCTCAAATCCCAGGACTCCACGAGGCCGCCATCACCACAGCAACTCACAATAGGAAGTCGTGGATGCCTCAACAGGCGACACTGAGAGTGAGACACCCAGACAACATCTGCTATAAACAAATATCCTTACAATGTCAGGACCCATGCTATACTTCAGGGCCAAACTCGCTCCAACTATTTCCGACAATTGACGTTACGACTTGGTTGACTTCATCTAGCTTCTGCATCTCGATCGGCGTGAGGAAGGTGCCAGCTTCCAAGTCTAGCCTCAGCTCCAAACCACTTAGATACACGCAAGTCGCAGCTTGCAGCTTGGCTCCGTACCGGTACACTTCCTGCGAAGAGCCGCCCACAAATAGCGTGCACGACTCGCTGTCATACGTGAGACTGCGACCGCCTCATGAGCGTCAGGACGAGCAGACGCACAGATTCACAGTTGTTCACATACGATCAAACCCCCAATGCGCTTTTCCAAGACGCGGACATTTAGGGACGCGTAGCCTGTGATGGCGACCATACTGAGAATGAAACTCAAGTGTGCGGTCATCCATCAACATCACCTGAGGAACACGAACAAAGCTTTTACTTGTTGTATGACTGAAAGCCACCACCATCACCCAAGTGCAGGGTTTCTGAAGATTCAGACACATCTACTGCTAGCAGATGCCTTGAGGGTCAGTACCCTGTCATGAAAGTCACCACAGACAGCTCACAGAGGTAAAAATTCCCCAAAATGATACGAAGTGAACCATCATCGATCTCTTGGCACAAACCTACATAGCGCTAAAAACGCAGCGCCCTGATGCGTGGCTGTCCTATGGCTTTACAGGGTCTTGCTCAATATGCAGAATCTTGAGTTTGCTTCTGTTGTCGGTGAGGACAAGGTGGAATTCTGCGCTTTCAACATGACACGTGCTCAGCTGCAATTTTCTTGGGGCCTAATCGTGGCCTAATTATAGCCTATAGACTAGAGATGCAACGATGCCAACTAACTGGGATGCAAGCCCTAGTGCGGCATGAGTCCCTACACCCATACGTACAAGTGGCAAGCTTCTTCCAATCCTCCGACAACAGCTGCAGGTCGACTACCTCCGAGTCCAAACCACCTGGATGAAAAATGCATCCAATCTCTATGCACATAGAATCACGCATCCTTCCTTGCTGCTGCTCTTGCTGGCCTGCCCGCTCCCACCTTTTTAAGCTCCAAGAGTCTAGCAACACTAACGCCGTACCGAATGGGACCAGCATCTGGCAAGTGATTGTTTTGCGGCCACTGACTGTGAGAAAAAGCTGCTGCGCAAAGTAGATGTACTGCAAGGCCAACTTCGTGATTGGAGTAATAAGGTCAAAGGTGGAGCAAGCGTTTTTAACCCTTCCAAGTAGTTCGATCATGGACAATCTCATGAAGAGAGGGACTTGAGGGGCGTTTGCCTTTGTGGTAAGCGCGCTGCGAGAGCATTTCATTCCGAGCTCCTTCAGGTCGAAGATGCGAAGCTCCTGGCCAGAATCGAATCTATCAGCTTCTCAGTGCAAGCCGCTAGCCCCTGCTATGCTTGAAAGCGCAAATACTTCTTACACTTCATCTACAGAAAGCGCAAAGCCAAGATTACAGCTGCACCAGTTTTCAGTGCAAGATGGCTCGGCAGGCGCTCCGGTGCATAGATGCCGGTGGATAAAATGTGTTCGCCATCGGGGCTGACCCTGACCCGCGAAGAAGCCACGTTGAACTCAAAATCCTCAATGGCAGATTGTTGATGTCTTCTATTGATTTGCTGCAGACGCTGGGACTCAGTCCTGGATCAAGTCAATGCGCTTCCGAAAGTCCTGACTCCCGCTTCATCTTACGATGCCGTGGGACCCAGGACATCTGCAAACTACTATGCGGCTTCATTGACAGATTGAAGGAAGGAGAGTTGTAACTCCACCCAAAAAAGCCGCCCGGTGCATCTTGACCAAAGATGGTCTAAGCTGTCTAAGCTCATTTTGGAGAGGCGTGCCCGCACTCGAGCAAAACTGAAGAAGTCCTGTTGATGGCGGTGTCTCTGAACCCTGCCGCCCCCAACCATCCCCTTGAGCCCCGAAATTGGTCCTTTCTTCGACCGGAATGCCGCTACCACACCCAGATTGGATGTAAAGCCGAAAGCCCGGCCCTATCCCAATAAGTCCCACCACACCTGCAAGCTGCGTGGAATTATTCTTTGGTCCGTAGAGCAACATGCATCTTGACAAAACGCACCAAAACCACTTCTTGTCGTCGTGCGTCTATTGCACTCTGACCAGCCGTAGCCTAGAAGTCCCAACCTTGGGGTTTACGAGAAAGGTCAGGGTTTGAATCAAAATAACGAATAACAATTAGAATTCATAAGCTGTAGCCATGACTAATGAATGGAACATTTAGTTTAGTATCACGAATAATTAACTAATCGTATCTACTGTTATTTCAAAAAATCCTTCGTGATTAGTTCGGGATAATAGCAAATAGTTTCTGATGAGTGCTTAGACGAAGACGATCTCCGAATGCTGTGACGAGGACGGAAGGTTGCCTCACAAGCCTAGGCCTGTGTTGTCATACGGGGCTCAATCCACGTTTTGCGTCATTAACAAGGGGTTCAACGAAAGTAACCCAAACGCATAACACAACCAAGCCCCTCACAAGCCTGTGCAAGGAAGCAAACATCCAAACCTGCACAGCAACGAAAGGCACAGAGAACAATTGTTCAGAACTAGGGAGTCCAAAACACCTCACTTCAGATGTCCTCGGCGCGGGCCATAGGCCCATGCAAAAAAAATTCTCGATTTTCCAGACCCCACACACCGCATCACACTGCCACCTGCCACCACCACCATCACCCCCCCCCCCCCACCACCCCCCACCACACCACCCCCACCACACCACCCCCACAGCACTACTATTTCTACTACCTACTGCTACTACTAGTACTAGTATTACTGGGTGAGGGGGGGGTGGGTGGTGGGGCGGGAGGTGGTGAAATGGGGTGTGAGCAAAGGTGGGGGGGGGGGGTGGTCACATCCCCCCACTCTAGAAATGTCAGGACCAGTTTCCGCTGGCCCTGACGCCAATATACCATTTCAAAATGGAACCATCAAATATTTCATGCTCTGGGACCCCAATGCGCCAGCTAAGTTTCAACTGAACACGATCAAAATATGTTCACAAACACAATCCCCAGCCACATGACACCAGTCTGCACGTTCGGAATGCTGCACGGGCAAAAGGCAACAATCCGTGGGCGCATCACTGCAAACCTTGCCGGGCTGACTGCCACGCCTGTGAGGACAGCCAGCTCACGAGAGGACAAATCCACCAAACGTAGATTATGAGTTAATGCACCCGCGCTGTATTGAATCGGAGAACATACTCTCTAACATCGATACAATCCTGACCCAACCAACGGGAAAAACACGATCTACGCCGGGATTCCTGAAGAACCTGCAGGCGTATCTCTGCGCAAGCATGTTTTACAGAACGCACCCTGCGCTGTCACGACAGCTGGGACATGTGTCTGAAGTTTGCATGGCCACTGCACCCAAAACGCCTTTAGTTGGTGGTCTAGAGGCATGTCTTCAAATATATATCAAGAAGCCTGCCTGCCTAGCTCAGTCGGTAGAGCGCAAGGCCATTAACCCTGTGTCTGAGGGTTCGAGCTCCACGGAGGGCGTTCGTGTACAGCTGGTCACACATCCATAGCGCCGCAAGCTTGCTGGCATTACATTTGCCTCTCTCGCAACAAGGACAAGCGAAGTCCCAATTGCCACGGTCTACCGCAGAAAGGTCTCAACCACGGCCCCGTTTTGGCACAAAAGAGCGTACTACAAAGCTACAAGACAGCTTATCGCCCAGCCACATGCCTCCCCACCTCCAGGTCCCTCTAACCTTCCTCTAGTAGAATTCAAAAGTATCAGATCATCATGGCCCTGTTTCCAAATGCAGTCTCAACTGGTTTCATGTCTGCAGCCGAGGGCCCTTTCAGAAAAGCCAGCCCCATAAAGCTTTGGGCAAAACAACACGCTGAGTACATGGCTTGAAGGCACCCGGAAGGCAGGCACACCGAGTCCGATTCCTAGGAGCCTCACTTAAACGTTTGGGTTCCAAGGGATCCGCCTTCCTCAGCTGAACCGCAACCAAGATATATCCCATGCTTACTATAACCCTGCAGAAGGTCGTGGGGAACACAAGCACCCATCAGCGTCCTACGACCCCCAATATTCTGGTGATGATACTGCCCCTTATCGTCATTTTCCCGGAGGCCATCATGCTCCCGAAGACCATAAGCCATAAGACTTGCGTCCAAAATCCCCATTGTTGCTCCACATTGGCAACCTGCTGAGCGGTCGGACAACCAAAATTTCTGTCATCAGCAGACAAAACCTAAACCACCCGTGGCACAGTTTTTTGATAAATGCGCAGAGCAAAAAGAAAGAGACACTGCGGCCCCGCTAAAACGGTCACCTGGGGCAAGCTATTGCGGACACTGGCCGGGTCTGGGAGGGTCTCTCCCATCAAGCGCAAATAGCGATATTGCTCAAGCCACATATCTGGTAGGAGTCTAGCGGCGCGCTCATCCATACCTGCAGAGAAAGTTGAAGACTAGAGAGATCGAAAAAGAATCCAAAACCACGATCTAAGGGCAACTTTAGCACCCTGCACCCCCTTACCCAGAGCACCTCCGCAAAGGCAAGCAAGAAGGAAGTCTGGACACAGGTCAGAGGTTTCCTGCGAGGACAGCTCCATCAGGTTCCTTTCCTTGGGAAGAGTGGACTTGTCTTAATTACGAACTTCCATATTTTGCAGCAGGCGACAAAGCTCCCCGCGCTTGCTGCAAAATGCTGCCAGAGTTGGGAGCATGTCATGGCCATCCAGCCCCGCTACCGCTCCTGGACAGTCCTTAACGGCTCTGCCAAGGTCCTGCTCCGCTCACTCACGGGGGAAGGTGACCAACAACAGTAGCCCACGTTTCTTCAGGATGGCGCCACATCCCCTGCCAAGAACTTGTGAGGGTCTGAAGGGCTCCTTTTGCTCCTCGTTGAGCTATTTGTCAGCATCCTGGCCACGGTGCATTCTCTGCTTCATTTACAACGCCTTCTAAGCGTTCACGTTTTCAGAACGCTTTCGGAGACGTCGGAGAGCTTCCTCAATGTTTAAGATGTTTTTGGTCTGATTCCTGATTAACGAGCCACGCACATTTTTTGCTCAAGTCAAGGATCTGCTTCCCGGAAGCTTGCGAGTTGTCGCTGCCACTAGTTTGGTTCTTCCACTGTATCATCCGTCGAACGAGCAGAGCCCAGGCGCGCTGTCCGTGTGACGTATAGTTCCCAGCGGGGCGGCTGAAACATTCTTCCTTCGCGCTCACCGCCTCCAAGCCTTGAGGGCGGCAATTTGTCCTTAGGTCAGCTTGTCCTGAGGTGTTTGCAGCGTTTCACCCCGTTCCTCGTCAACGTCCACTGCCACGCCCACTACCGGTTTGCACGCGCCCCTCACAGCCTTCAACTCTACGCCCTAGTCCAGGCTGCGCTGCCAGCGCCTGGCGGGCTGGGGAAAGGACTGGAGCGGGTTTGAGCACTTGTTGTTGGTGTACAGGCAGGTTCTGATTCCATTGCACCACAACAATTCACGGGCCGAAAACTTGTAGCGCAAGATTTTCACTTTGGCACGGGTTTATTACCTATGTAATTGGTAGCCGACGCACATCTGGATGTCCGATCTCAGAAGTTCTGGAAGGAAAAGCATTTGCGCCCTCAACCCAACAAGAGCCTCAGGAAATGGGTTGAGATTGGGATTTCAGTGCAATCACTGGCAAGACACTACATGGTGTTTCTAGGCAAGGACTGCGCAGCGGCAGCCACCCCGTTGATAACACCAGAAGCTTCAACAACGGGCATCGCGTAGGCTTACTAACAGTCTCCAAGTCGGCTGCTGCGAGCCCAGGCGGGTCTAGAAGAAATGCTTTCCTTACAAGTACAAAGGCATCGCCGTGCGCCCTGGCCGCTTGGCCTTGTGCCTCAGCAGAGTAACCGTTATACCCCTTACCGTTATACCCCTTACCCTTAGCAGAAGGAACCCTCAGCCTCAACTTGACGCGTGCCAATTTCCTGCCGAAACAAAACTTGAGGACTGTGAGCCACGGTGATGTTCATACACCCTTCGCCCCTCCACGGTCTTTTCCGAAAGCAACACACTTCACAAGAAGAACTTCTCTACTGGAGTAGCCTGCCAGGAGCTGCATGCAGGCCGCGCACCACCACTGCCTGTGTCCTGCCCTGGGCTTGTTTCATAGCAAAACTTCACCAAAAATATCAAGTTCCACAGCGCCCCTTCAGTCTCCAATCGCGTTTCTTGCTTGCTCTATCTGCAACAGCCACGCCAACTGACTGGGTTGTCCCTTACCCTTAAACGTTTGCCGTGGCTCACGGCTTTAATTTGGAGACGCCGACTTCACGGGCTCGGGAAACCTGCACAACCCTAGGCCTCCAGGCACAAGTCCACGCTCTTTCAACCTGTGGGACGTTTTTACTGGCTTCAACGGGGGCAACTTTCGGTTTGACAAACGCGAGAGCCTAAGAACCTGTGGGCGTTTTTACTGGCTTCAACGGGGGCCGTTTTCGGTTTGACAAACGCGAGAGCCTAAGATTGCAAATGTTTTGCCAAACACCTTTCCGTGCAGCCTTGCAAGCCGGGCATCGCCAAATGTAGCTTCGCTTTTGCGTGCTCCTGCTTTGGAAAATTGATTACCGAGGACAGGCACTCCAGGGATATCTTTACCGACATTCCGCCGCTGGTTTAACTTCCACTTTTAAGCATGCTGCTTGGCATTCCCGCAGGCGGTGTGACTCCAGTATTTGCCATCCCTGCTTGGGAGGAGGCACTGGCGATCCCAAGTCCCGAGGGTGTAACCTCAGCCAGTCTAGGAAGCAGGCACCGGGAGAAAGGTTTTTCAAGTTTTGGCGCGGTTCTTACTGCTCACCGGACTACTCAGTTCAGCATGTCTATTGATCCGTCTAGTAAAGGCTTTTTAGCAAGCTGAGGGCCTTCATGGTGGCATCTCTGCCTCTGCATGTGTCGGACTTTTCCATGTCCAATTTCCTTGGCACGCCGTTTGACAAAGACAAGCCTTTACCAGACTGCGTGCTCCTGCTCGAAAGCCCTAGTTTGAATTTCTCAGGGTTTCCGCTACAACAGCTTCGCCTACAAGGACGTCCCGGGGCAACAGAAAGGCCTCCACGCTTGGGGTCAGAGACTGTTTCCAAGATGCTGCGCTTGCACTTTTAAATGCCTTCCTTCGTGGGGGGCGAGTTTCTTTGATCCATTTAGCACCGGGACAGTCCCACGGGGTCTAAACGTCACACAACAGCCCACATAATGCTTATCTTTGAGAACAAGGCAATGGGTTTCTTCTTTTGCGCCGCTTGCGCCGCGCGCGCAGCACACCAAGGAGCCTGCGCAACACACATCCAAGAGCCTTGGAATAAGTATAAACCCATACAATTATAGGAACCCACATCTTTCGGCCAACATCGCCATTCGGTACTTATCCACTGAACCTTTCGCCTGGCCACTAAATAGAACCAGGTTTCATATTCAGTGGGTGAGCTGAGCTGTGTCCTCCCCATCCCTCCGTGTCATCTAAATCACAACTCCAGATGTCCTTGCACTTGTCACCGTGCTTGCTCAGATGCCGTGCCATCATGAGACGCTGCTCGCGTGAATCTGTAGCTCAACATCTGAAAGATTTTTCCTTGGTTTTCGGCCATCGCTGTCGCAGCGGGGCGGTAGCCGCAGCCTCCTGCGCCCTTGTTCTCTGTGGCGCTCCAGAACTTGTTGATCGGGCTCCACAAGGGCTTTGGGTTTGTGTTTACAAGCTTATAAGTTCTTTCCCTAAGCCTATTTCAAGGCCGCTGTGCCTTAGTTTTGGTGGCAGAAGTGGTTGCTTCACATGTGGTTTTCCACCTCTTCGTCCTTGTCTTCGTTTTCATCATCCAAATCCATTTGGGCCTCAGCAATCTCATTTTGGGTTTTGCCAGCAACCCATTTCTGTTTGGGAGCCCTAAGCTTCGTAATCTCAAGGGGCTTGCGTTTAGCCCCCTCTTTTGTGATAATCAAACACACCTCGTTGTCCGAATACGTCCAAACGGCCTGATCCTGAGTTCCAGCAAGCGCCAAAGCTTTAAAGATCCATGCTGGGTAACGAAATGCCTGCCAGGCTTTTACAAGCAAATTACGAGAAAGAACTTTGCTGCCACCGCACTTGCCCCAAAAAAATAGGCAGCACCAAGTTGATCCCGCCCTGAGGGAACACCATGCACGGCGTAATGGCGGACTCTTTCTTCTGCCTAAATGATACTCACATTTGCCCCCCTGTCTAAAAACCAAAGGTAGCCCTTGTTGCTAAGCTGATGCTTGTGCCGCCCACATGTAATCCTCAGATGACATGGCCCCATGGTGTCTGATTCATGCCATTTTCTCTTTGCGCGCGACCTCATCAACAATTGCCGCCAAAAGGGCGCGGTGCCCACTGTGTTCCAAGGCACGCTTTGCCAAGGCAACAGGCACTCTCACGTGACCCACCATCGTGGGCCCCTGCACTCCTCTAAGACACTCCCAGTCACCTACCTTTTCAGCGATGCAAATGTGACTTGCAGCAACTGCGTCCAGGCAGCTATCAACGTTCAGGGGGTATCATGTGTTTGTGGCGGCAAGAAGTATCTTCTAAACACTCAGGAGCAAGGAATCGAAGCGCAACCATTTCCACATCAGGCTTTTCCACAAACTGCACTTTGGGTGTGGGTTTGGGGACCGAGCCATCAATCGTTCCAAGTTTCAAAAACAGAGGGCGCCAGAACGAAGTCTGACCCTGAGTCACACGCATGAGGCAGGGCTTTTCACGCCCCAATGGCTTTGGCAGGAAACCAGCAAAAACAGCCACCATCAATTTACTGATGATTAGCAGAAGAGACCAGTCAGATTGCTACGATCTCTCGCTACTTGCCCTTGATTACTACTGGTACCAGCACTTACGGATTTTTAGTACTAGTCAGAGCCGATAGTCTAGCAATGACCTGTGTTTGCTAGTAACGTATACAGTGAGTCTCACTATCTGCTACTATTGAAGAGCAATAGAAATCAGCAGCCACTACTTGGGAAGGCACAAACAATGATTGATTGCAATTTGCTGAAGTCGGTAGCAGCAAAATGTCCTCGTTGTTTCTCAGCGACCTTTGGACGAGACATGCGCATTCAACAAATAATAGCAAGTTGGGCGCACATCTGCACTGCTCAGCTCAATCACTCGAAGCCAGGAAGGAAGAGCCAAGAAGTATCACAAGTGAACGCAGTCAACGCAATGGAGCCAATCTCCGCTGAGTTGCTGTTTCTTCTTTCTGGACTCAGCAAGCCATTGCGGTAGCGACTTGCCAGCTGACAAATTGTACACCTCCGGAGGAGCAGAGCACGTGTCCAGGCCCGCGCTGATAAGATGGACATGCCATGCCGAGAGCTGAATGGATATCTCCTAGACAACACTCACCGAACAGTTTTGTTGGTTTCTGTTGTTTCTCTCCGTTTGGCTTTCTTGCAAACAGCAATTGCCATGCAGCGCTTGCTTTTGCAATCCTTGCATTCGCCATGTCCTTCCGACGCACCAAACCTTACGCAACTAGCTGAGCCTTGATGTCATTGAATTCAGTGACCTGTCAGAGTATCAGTTGCCTTGCAACTTGCAACTGTCTCCAAACGGAGCCCTCACAGCTGAGCTATCAACTTGCATGGCACATGATGTCAAGATTGGCTTTTCGAAATCTGATCAAGGATGGGTGAGGCCTAGTCTACCATCAGTTGCAGTTTGCATATCTAAATGTTGATTGCCACCAATGTCTTCTTCAAGAAAGCCATGATGTGCTGGAGACATTTCCATCTTTTGTAAAACAGATCTGTCTGCAAAGTTCGCCCACTAGTTGGCAAAGCTGCAATTGCTGGAGCCTACAGCCCCGGTTGGTCCAGCTACAGTGGCAATGGAGTAGCAGGCAGCTCTCACAAAGAATGGCAAGATGATGATACACACGGCCATCTAATTATCTAATGTTTCGCTGTTTCGCTTTCGCCAGCAGGCCGCTGTGGGCACGTGGGGGCGTGACGGCCCTGCAAGTCATGTGCAGGAGACCAAGGTGGCCTGCAGAGCAACTTCTGGCAAAGCGGATGACGCGGGAGCTTGCTGCCTTCTCTTGGAGAGGGCAGACGGTTCCCGTCAAGGAAGCAATTCAAAACAATCATTCAAGTTCAGACCTGCCAATTCATAAGCTTTGCAGCCAAACTTTTTGCATTTCTGAATTGGTTCTCGTCCAACTCCATGAAGCCGACTACGCGCGGAGACACGTTCTCGCCCTGCCATATGTCGGAAAGGCTGTCTCTCTCCACGGAGTTGATCCAAACAATGAAGTTCTTCACGTAAGTGGTGGCGATCATGTTGGCGTCAGGGTTCAGATTCACAATCCGACCGAACTGAACAGGATCCAGCACCATCAAATCGCACTCAGTCAAAGCCGTTAGCAAACCTAGGTGAACCCAGGTTGGAGTCCACCTGAGCTTCGCAAAGAAAGCATGGCAACATCCCAGCGAAACCATCAGATACCATCTGGCCAAGGAGCAACACTGGCTCCGAGATCCAGTCCTCACCTTGCAAAACGAGAATGTTTCCACGACTTAGTAACTTAGTGAGGAAGGATGCAGCGCAGGCAAAGCGGCCTTTGTCTACTAATTCCTTGTGCTCGTCGTTCTTTGAGTCGAACCGGCTGTAGACCAGCCTGCCATGCGGACGTAGTAAGCCGCAGGCCAAACGGCTGCCACTGTAGGGCTTCTGGTTTCTGGCTTGCTGGTCTTGGAGTGTCCAGCAAACCAGATTGTGGTGATTAAAGATGGTGCCTTTACTCTTGGGTTGTAGAGCACGAATGTAAAAAATCTTGGTAATTACCAGCACGTCTTTACAAAAAACGAATACCAGTTGGCCTGTGCCATGGCGAGTGGCTTAGACAAAATATTAATTCAACGCTCATGCCTTGCTCTCAAGAAGTCCCTGCCTCCCAGCCACAACAATGTACATGTGGGTTGCGATCTCCCCAGGAATGAACAAGGTATCAGTCCTTGCCAAGAGCTTGTTGTAGATCGCATTGTTCGCTAGGCGGTGAATTGTCACGCGGGAGACGACGCAGAGGCGTGCAAATAACGGATGCACTGAAAAGTGTGGCATGCAAATCTCACCTCGTTTCGCGCGAAGGTGCGGGGGGCTTCAAACCACAATCAACACAAAATCAAACAAAACCACTTGACATCCAAGCCACACTCCAGTTCGCTTCGGAGTTGCTCTGAAAGAAGCGTTAGAAGTTTCACATCCTTTGCCGGCACATTGTCCTCTTGACCTCAGAACGTTTGCTGCTTGAAGCTCTTCCAGAGGCTTGAGGCATTAGTCTGCAGTACATACAACATTCGCCTGTCCTCAGTCACTCTGAGCATGGCATGATTCCGAATGACTGCTGTAAAGGGACTTTCAAGCACATGCTCGGCATATTTCTGAATGCGTGCAGATAGTGTGATGGAAACATGATTCTTTCGCAGATGGCGCCGCAGCTCCCAGAATTGTCTAGCCCGATTCTCCGTCATGCCTGAGACAGCGAAACATATGCCGGGAGCTGCTTTCAATAGTAGTGTGTCCGCAAGCCTCGCAACTGGGCCAACGATCCGGAAATGCTGCCCACAACCTGAGCACTCGAGAAGCACATGTAGCTGCGTCCCGACTGATCCCAACAGAACCCAACTGCAGCTCATGCAGCTGACCACTAATCTGCCGAGGCACATATGAGAATCCCACAAGAGCAAATACAACAGTGCCAATCGCAAACATGCGTTCCTTCGGTGAGCACTGCATGTATATCATGTGCCCATGTCTGCGCAAGCTCGCGTGCGTAAAATAGAAGTCTGGACTTGAAAGCAGGAAGATGAATTCTAGAATGCTCCAGAGGATCCCATTAAGGTCATTAACAAAGTTCAACGGAGGGTCCCTTGGCAAGGCAAGGGCGAGCGACTCCCCCTCCACCTCCCAACGAGGAAACCACCTGGCCCCGCCCACACCCCCGCGCATGCCTTGAATGATTGAGGTATCACCCTCCAAAGCTAAGCGAAGGGGTGGTGACCTTGGCCCAAAGATTGGCAAACGACAGCTACTGCAAAGCTCCAAGGAGCTAGCTTTCGTGACCGTGTCTCTGGCAGCAGATACCAAGATAAATGCTTTGCACGCATCTACATATGCACGTAATCATCCAAGTTTCTGTCATGGTGTGAGGCTGCACATGCATTGACGCTGGCGTGAATTGGGTAATCGCCCAATGCAAACTTGTGGCATACCTGCAGTAACATCACACAACACAACATCACTTGTCACTGCCACAACCATACCTGCAGTTGCAAGGCTTGATGCTTTGTTAGTTTTGGGCTGGACCCCAAGCTCGTCCAGCTACAGTGGCATGACATGAAAGTCAAAATCCCTGCTGATCAAAGAAGGAGATTTCATCCATAGGCCCATGTGAGCACCGGCTTCAATTTTTTGCCTGGGCCTTATGCGGCATGTTTAATCCGTGACCCCTCATCTCGTTCGCTTTATATCTAATCTTGTATTTCACCTTGACAGCATCACCTGATCTATTTCGCCATGTTGGGACATGTACTGGGCTCTTATTGCAAAAGATACTGTGGCCTGTCTCGTTCAATCCACGGCCCCTGTCTCCTTCACAGAGGAACGCTGAACCCAAATGCAAAAACACCAACGCGCCTAGCCTGCTACTCTCTTACGCAAAAGAATGCGGCGGCTCATGTGGGGGTTGGCAGCACGGGAAAAACCTTCAGGGCCTAGGATTGTTTCTCTCTTGCGCGGGTGAACCAACAGAGTCGGTGCTTGGGCAAGTTCAGCCGTGTTCTCGCAACAACTCCCTTTGCTAGGACATTGTAACCGTTTGACCCGACTGCCTCTCTACCTTCCTCCGCGGAATACGGAGACCGGCACCTCTTACCAGCACCATCTCTGACCCCTTCCTTCTTCCTTCCCTTCCAGCGTCATACAGTGGGCCAACACCAGTTGATAACGGCAAGACACTGATAGTCCCACGCAGCATCACTGAGATGATGCGCCTCAATCCATCCACCACCACCTTGAAGGTTGCCGATCCAAAACCAGAAGCAGGCAATAACCTCGGATTCTCATGAAACAGCAGTTCTCTACAGGGCTAGACTCTAGACTCTATAGATGTCAAGGCACGTGATTCACAATCAGGAGCAAAGCAAGCATCTTGAGGATGCTCACAACCTGGGATCATTCTTGACACATGTTCCTTGCCTGCCACGTGAGGTGCTTTCGTCTTTACCCAAAATCAAAATGTCATTCAATGATGACCCAGCCGCGATGCTGATGTACCTGCAAGCTGGCTGGGCCGGGCTACATTTACATTGTGCCTGTCTCAAGCTTGTAAGCACGCATGGAAGGGCAAACAACTAACGTTCCAAGGTGCTCAGAGTCCACCAGATCGCTGATGCTCTCCATGGTTTTGCGAAGCCGAAGTATTCGCACGAGGCGCACCTTGTGAAGCCCATCCAAGCCGGGCTCAGTTTCTTTTCTGCTGCTTGGCACTGCATACGTCTGAGCACCACGCCATCCGGAAAAGACGAAGACTCCGAAGAAGTTTAACAGAGCTTTCCGCTGATGATTCAGATGATCCATCCGAAGATGTGGAGAGAGTGAAAGCCCAGTCTGAACCGACTACGATCAAATCTATGAGGCACCATGTTTTTATGTAATGCAAGATGACCTTGTGCGGGACCATCACAAAGATGCCTTTGTCAATGTAACCGACAAGGCAAGAGATCAGCATGTTGACGCTCCAGTAGATCAGGATGAACCACTGCATAAATGTAGAAATATCTGACGCCGGAGGTTCGAAGACCTGCATGGAGATAGTGAAGAGGTCGTGCACGATCAGTCCTGCTCCCGCGCAGTCCCAGGCTAGCTTGCCTGGGCTGCTTGGAAAAATCATGAAATGTCGGAGGAAGCCATTGTATTCCTGAATGACCATCAGGTCATCAGCGAAGTCGGAACTCGGCAGCTTCGCATCTGCACCGCTGATTCTGATGCCAGGATCCTCTGCCCTTGTCCAAGTGGCAAGGGGTTGAAAGTCATGATATTGCACATCTGAAGGCCCCATGTTCGACTCCAAGTACTCGCTTCTCTGCATAACGAGACGCTTCCGCTCTGCACCATTAAAGTATACGAAGCTTGCAGGTGCCGAGCGAATGCTCTGAATCCTATCGCACCGGTGGCCGTGACCAGTCTCGGCTTGTTCCGGCAGCTGAAGCCTCACCTGCTTCGCTTCAGAGGCACATTTCTCGACAGAATTCGGCGAGCTGTCTAAATTATCTCCCGTAAGCGATGTGAAATCCAGCAACACTGCTTGGGATTGCACTCGAGCAGGACTTGGCACTGCATCTGAGTCGATCCGGCTTCGGACTGCTGTGAACTCTGTGGATGGGCAGCGCTTGTGACTGACCACAGAGTTTTCAGAAATCTTTTGAGTTAAATCTTCAATCATGGCGAGGTCATCCTCAAGTCTGGTCTGAAGCTTTGCCTTCCAAGCATCAAGCAAATCTTTCCAGGCGCTCTGCCGCTCGGGCTCGCTCGGTGGATTGCAGGAACAGCCAAGTTTGTTCAGTGGTAGCATGAAGGGCGTCATGGCTCTTTACCAATTTCGCTTCGAGCCGGATACGGCCAACTGTGCGGCTCAAATATTAGATTCTCTTGGTAACGATTTCCAACCCAAATGACAAAGCTTTTCGGCAGAGCCGAAATTCATGCGCGTGAAGCCGGTGTATAGCTGCATTTGCATTCACCCCTACATTGCATGATGGCCAAATACCCTTGCACCCCTTGCCTGTTCTGTGAAAATCGCACGGAAAAAGACGGTTTATTGCTTTAGGTACTGTCTCAGCTGCAACAAGTGCCACATTGCCGCTTGCGAGGCCTGTTGCAAGGGCAGAAGCAGGCTTGGCTTTTGTGCAGCCAAAAAATAGTCCCGTTGCGATAGACTACGTTTTCACGGGTTTGTGACATGAATGGTTCACCCAGCTGGATCAGCACCCCGAAACTAAATTTCAGCCATTTTGGCCTGTCATCATGCATTTACACAGCCTCAGAACGCCAGACCACAGCACCAAGGACCTTCCTGCCAGCTCTGAGCACTTGATTTTCCGTAATCAACGCGCAAAAATCATACTACTATCATATTGGGGTTATAATTAGTAGTAGTAGTAGTAGTAGTAATACTGATAATAATGGTTATATGGGGGGATAATGGAAAAGAAAATGGAAACTACTATAATGGAAAATCCAATATAACTTCAATATAACCCCAATATACTCCATTTCATTTTCCATTTTCTTTTCCATTTGATTCTCCATTATAGTAGTTTCCATTTTGTTTTCCATTATCCCTATGTAACCCCTAAACCCTAAACCCTAAACCCTATATAGTAGTTTCCATTTTATTTTCCATTATCCAATAATGGAGCTTAGAGGTGAAACTGTCACGCTCAGTAGATGCCCACACTGGACAGCGACTTGGCTGTCACTGGGCCCTGCGCAGTTCACCAATCAGATGAATCATGATCGCATGTCCCTTCAAGTTGACCAAGATCAAACGCATGCTGCACTTAGGTACGACGTGCCCAAACAACCTCAACGCGAAAAGTTGCTTCGAAAGAAAGAGAGGTCTTCGCGCCAGAACTGATTTCAACAATTCATGTTTGTTGCCGTATGAAGCAAGCCGCTCATGCTGCTTTGTGTGAATAAAGCAACTCAGGCCTCTTTCATCATCAGGGTTGTACCCTCGAAGGTGGCCTGCAAGCGCAATGCCTCAAACTAAGGATATCGTCAGTCATGGAATTGCCTCGCGCGTGTCGCTCATCTGCAAGGATGGCTGCACCACCCCCCACACCTGGGCAAGAAAAGCTTACTTGCTTTGAAGATCCGAGCTGGAGACATCGCAGGGCATCTGGCCTTGGAGATGTTCTTCACACTGACGCCCTCGCTGCCACTACCAACTTCGAGGCTTCCAACAATCGGTCTCGTGCCCTGCCAGGGAAGCAAAATGAAGCGCAATTTTTGAAGGCGTGGAGCGCGTCATCCGCCTCTTTGCAGCCCTTGGGAGGATCCAGTAGCTCACAGACTTCGTCCTGCCACATGCCATACACAAGCTGCATATGCCGCATAATGTGGCTGGGGCCCGGCGGTCCCGCGCCACCCTCCCCAACCTTCAAAACCCCTCCCTACAGCAGCAGCCTGCTGCTTCACTTCGGTTACAACCTCTGCTCCAGAGAACGCCACCCAAGTACAATCCCATCACTTTTCATGCTTCATGTTCCTGCCAGGCAGGTCCCCTCCTCAGCACCCTTGTTCTTGGTGGCCGCAAGCACCATTGCCTTCGCGTCCAAGTGCAGAAAAGTGCATGATGAGCAGGATGAAATCATACGGGAAATGGCCTGGCTTTCAAGACCACGCATCTTGCCAGGCTTGATGTTGCAGTACACCATCACCTGTCAAGGCATTACTCAGCTTCCCTACTCAGCTTCCCGAGTCAGCTAGCATGATCTGAAACATGCGATTACCGTTTCCTGACAGCTCTTGCTTCTGCAAATATGAATCAGCAGACAAAGCCACCAACCTGTCGGTCTTTGAGATCAGTTTCTTTGTAGTGCTTCACAAGAGATGACACCACCTTGGAGATGAAGCAGAAGCAGTGCAGCTACAAATGCCAAGATGGAAAAGTCCAACCTGCCGCGGCTGATCCTCACCAATGTTGATCTGACAGAGCCGCAAGGAATCTTACATGTCTCATTTCGATCGCTCTACTGCCTGCTCCACATTGCACAATGCCCAGCCTTCAACAGGTAGAGGGAATCTGCATCTGGATGGCGTTCACACTCTAGAATTCGCCCACATCGAAGATCTATCTTCGCGAGGGCAGCCTTTGCCGAAAACATCGCTATTGGATGCTGTTGGGGAGCGGTCAGGGGGGGGCGGTTGTTCACATGCCGTTGAGCCAGGGGTAAAGTACATCTAAACGAAGTCTCAAGACCTTCCCTGAAGTTGGGGCAGTCAAGGTTGCAGTCCTCCTTGCTCTCTGCTGGAGGCGCATTCGCCGCTGGCTGAGCCTGCGGCCGATGCTACTCTTCTACATGTTCCCTGGCCAAGAGTAGAACGAGGGCCCGAAACCTTGCAATTCGAATGCCTTGAAAAGTATTTCATGTTGCAAGTGGGCACCAACATCATTCAATCTCGCTGGCAAGCGTGTCAAGAAAGGCCACAATCGGCAACTTTTTAACACTTTTTGAACAGGGCAGTCTTCCAAGCCTTGAAATGCATTGTGCCCTTGTCTTCACAGGATCACGCGTAGTCTCTGAGCTGAGACCAAGACAGGTATTCTGCACAGGGCTGGCTGATCCCCGCGAAAGCCATGCACGACTGTCAACATATCCTGATAGAGGCCTCCACTCACATGGCCTGAAACTTACTCACATGTAGGTGGGAGTTACTCTGTCGACGACAAGGCCAAGGTTCAACCATGTTCTCTCTCCCTGCTTCCCCCTTGTGGACTCCCCTGTGTCCTGCATGGATTGCGCGGATAGCTGGCAGGTCTTAACCCATGGGGCTACTGCGCGAGAGCTTGGAAGCCATCAGCAACACAAATGGATTCTGGGATACGAATGAATCTACAAGCCAAAAACAGTCAAATCATCGAGCCTTGGGTGAAGCTTTGGGTTCAGCTGCAGCCTTTCCAGATTCAGCCTGCCAAGCTCATGAGAACAAATCTTCATGGCACTCCCCTGCAACCAGCCTTTGGCGCAGCTGGGCTTGCCTGTCACAGTTCCTTGAATCAAGTCTGGTCCACGATGGGCTTCAGTAGCCTTCTTTGCACCGCGCGAAGAAGATGCGGGAGTGGCACCATCGCCATTGAGGGCCTGCAAGGGCCATGCGTGCTAGCTAGCGCAAGCCACAGAAGCACAAAGTGCCTTTTCCCAGGAGTAAGGCGTGTGTCCAGGCGGGCACTGCGAGCCCTGGGACGCCCATATCGTGGAGAAGCCCTGCGCTCTGCAGAGATGATCCCACATGGACATGCTGCGTGCAGCCAGCCTCCTTCATTCCAGAAGCCTGGTGATGCCAGGAATACGGCGTATGCCCTGGTGGGACCATATTGCCTGCTGCATAATTCTAGGCAAGCTGACGGCTTGCAAACATTGACATTCATGCCTCCGGGCGCCCAGACTCCAGCAAAGCCTGAACTCATCGGCCATGCAAGACAAAAGCTCTAGAACACCGCACCCTTCTTCTACGTTTTGTTCAGAACTGCGCTAACAAGCGTCTGGCGCTACTGCTTCATGCAGGTGTTGGCATCTGACTAAGCATCTGCACCTTGGATGGCTTGCGTGCTCCAGCGCTGTGGCTCTGCCGTCTTGCTCCAACATTGAAGGTTGGTCACATCACAGATTCGGCATGAGCCGTACCACAGACCAGGACCTGTCTCTTACTTGGCGCCGCCGCCTTGCGCATGCAGAGCTTTTGAACAACATTTCGGTGTCGCGAAGGGCTACCCTTAGGATTCAGCGTCCGCATTCCTGAGTAAAGAGTTGTTCCGCTCCACAATGATGCGGTCCGCTTGTGTTTAAGCGACCGCCGACCCAGCAGTGCTAGTGTGCTCTCTGCACTGAGGTTCGAAAGCCTCTTGAGGGCTCTTGCCTTGACACGCACCGCATCGCACCGCCAGATACCAAGCAAGGATGAACAAGAAGAAGAAGAAGAAGAAAGAGAAGAAGCAGTAGTAGTAGTAGTAGTAGTAGTAATCGACGTCGTCGTCGTGGTCGTGGTCGTGGTCGTGGTTGGGGTGGTTGTGGTCGTCGTGGTCGTCGTGGTCGTGTTCGCAGTCGTGGCCGTGGTCGTAACAATAGTGGTAGGACCTACTTCTGCTGCTTGCCCGCTCCGAATTGCGAGGGGGGAGGAATTCACGGGTCCTTCCCGCGGCCAATCAGCTTCCCCACGAACAGACAACTTGCACAAAAATTTGCTGCGGGGTTTTGCCTGGTCAGAAGTCATTGTGTTGCTGGTTCATTGAGGCCCGTAGGGGCACTATTTGAGGCCGCCGGCCAACCCCAAATCCTGAACATTCAATTAGCCCAAACTCTGAACCTTGCAGAAGCCCGCCCTGAACCCTAAACAACCCAAACCAAGAAACGCCAGGCAACTCCTAAAGTCCCCCAAGCAGCAACGAGCCCCAAACCCTAAAGAATCCCCATCCCAAACCCTCAACCCCCCCCCCC